TTTTTAAATTTTATTTATTTGCTTATTTTTCTTTTTAATTGACATATATTGATTAATGATTTGATATAGTACTTTTGACTATATAATGATCTGAAATTTATTTTTGATATATGATGAAATTAGGAATTTAAATGTTATTATTTTTCCAAATAATCTATTTTCTCAACTCCTAATCTTATATTTTCTTGCATATATTTTATGATCTTAGTGTGTAATATATTAATTTAATATATTTAGTTTATGTACTTCTTTACATACATTAATATTTGTTCTGTTTACTTACCTCTTAGTCCTTTTGTTAGCACTTTCTTGTTTTAATTATTGCTTTATAAAAATTACATTTCTGATGTGTTCTAATATCCTCTAAGGCAAGGCCCCCCTACTCTTCCCATTCGTTCTGTCTGTGGAGCTTTAATATTTCACTAGGTATAAATACAGTCTGATCCATAGCAAGTTAAGCAATCTCCTAACACCACTGAATGATTCTCTGACACTTTGAACCAACTGCATCTTGGCAACTCCTCTCTTGCTCCAGCTCTGCAATTGATTTGTTGAAAAATCCCTTGAATCATGTATTTAGTTTGGCATATATGGTTTTGTGTGCACAACTATGTATAATATGTGTATATTATAGTATATAATAATGTGCCATATATAATAAAAAGCATGTTCATTTAGGAGAATGAGAATTATCAATACTATTTAAATTCATATTTTCTCTTTCTCTACCTCCTACTGAACCTGTCTATTTTAATTTATACAAACTGAATGCACATATGAGGCAGTTTCACTCTAATCTTTATGGTAGAGAGAGTCTTCCTGCTTCTTGGGTTGTTTTGTTATTAGACTTCTGATTTAGGAGGCAAACAGCATGGAAATTACTTTAAAAACCTTTATGCAGTCAGCCCTCTGTATCTGTGGGTTCCATATCCCTGGATTAAACCAACCATTTATTGAAAATATTCCCCCCAAAATTGCATCTATGCTGAACATGTACAGACTTTTTTCTTATAGTTATTCCCTAAACAATATAGTATAACTATTTATATAATATTAACATTGTATTAGGTATTATAAGTAATCTAGAGATGATTTAAGCATACAAGAGTATTGCACAGGTTATATGCAAATACAACACCATTATTATATAAGGGATCAAGCATCCATGGATTTTGGTGTCTGCAGGAGGTCCTGGAACCAATCCTCCACAGATACTGAGGGGCAATTGTACCTTTCTTTCAGGCCATGGGTTTGCTCTTTTGCAAACAGTAAACCATATATAAGATACAGATTTTGATTCTCGATTTAGCTTATTAGGTCTCATTTAATTCTTGTCCCAGATTTTGGGAAAAGTTTTACTAGTAGGCTTGCATTTTAGTGTTGTAAGTTTTTCTACCTTTGTATGTGTGTACCTTTATCAATATATGAGGAGAAATCAAGACACTGCATATGAGGCTGCTAGATAAGTAATATATCATTAGATGCTTCTAAACTATTATTTAATAAATATTTGTTTGAAGAATTGTGTCTCTTAAGGCTATGAAAGGATTAACTTCAACATGCAGAATTTCCCAGTAGAACTGTTGGTAGGGATGAGTGTGATTACATGGATTAATCATTATCCATTGTCCAGAAGGTGTCTCCATTTCACTCTCATGTTACTCTCTCATGCCAAGCACATTTGTTTCCCTGTCAGGTGCTAAATGCTCAATATGACTAGCTGATTTAACTCCCTATTTAGCAAGAGAAAAACAACCTCATCCCTGTTTCCATTAGAGCTTGTTCCTCACACACAGATTTAGTGATTCCCTCTCTACAAAGTGTTTGGATGGGCCTTTGTTACACCTAGGGGCAAAATATGCAGTCTTGAAGCTCTGCTGGAAATGGTTTTCTTCCCAGCTTTTCAGTGAGTGATTATGATCATAGCTCATGATGTGGTATGAACAAAAAAGAAATTCTATTTGACAAGTACTATCTCTGGTTAACTAAGAACTATATTAGAAGAGATGTTTGAGGTACAGCTCTTGTCCTAAAGAAGCTTCCAGTCTAGTGTGGGAGATAAACACTTAACCAACTGACGAGTTCTGTAACAGAAGGATGAGCAAACGGATGTCATAACATAGATGTGAGACAATTAATTCTGCCTAGTCAGCAGTCAGAGAAAAAATCAAACAAAAACCCAATTCACCATTGCAGGAAGTTGACAGCACAAAAATATTGTATGTAAAGAATAAGCTCAGCAGCAGCAGCAGAAGCAGTAGTGAACACATGAACTAGTTTCTGGAAATCTGCATGGAAGTATGAATATGAACACAGGCAAAACCATTCCCAGGTGAAAAGAGCAGCATAATCAAATTTGTGTAGGCACAAAAATGCTTGCCCTGTTACAAGAAAAACTAATTGCCCAGTATGATTTGTCCCGGTGTACCTTGTAAGGGAGGAAAATAAGTTTCTCTCTATCCTTTATAGTTCTTGGGTGGAATGGACCCCTGTAACAAAAGACAGATTAACAAGGAAAAAAACACACAAGATTAATACTGTGTATGCCTCAGGTATGTATGGGAGATACCAGGGAAAAGGGAGTAAATCTCCAACAGGTGGCTTTGAGTTCAAACTTAAATAACATCTTCATCTGCAACAAAGAAAGAAGGGTGTTGGGAAGGCCAGCAAGAGAAAGCAAGCCAGGAAAAACATAGTGAATAAGAGTAGCTCTTTTATGCAAATTTAGGTTGTGCCTTCTCCACTGATAAAAATGCTAAGAATCTCTAGTGATTTAGTGATTCTTCTCTTCCTGGTCCAAAGGGGGAGACATCCTTTCAAATGAAGTTTTCCTTTACAGATGTAAATTTCCCTTACAAAAGGGTAACTTCTGCTCCATTTTTAGAGCTTCCCTGTTTCTTCTCAAAATAATTAGCTCAAAATAATCCTTACACCAAAGAGGCATATTTTGGGGTGGCCTATTTGGTCTCCTGCAGTCATATTTTGGGGTGGCATATTCTGGTCTTCTATAGTCGATTTGAAGTGTTGGAAATGAAGCTAAAGATTAGGTAGAAATGGCCTCTTAGGCCATACTATTGATTTTGAAATTTGTCCTATGGATGATTCAGAGGTTATGATGCAAGAGAAAGATATGGTCATATTTGTATTTTAGAAAGAAAACTGGCAACAGAATAGGGAACTGAAGCCAAGAAAACAGTTGGGAATAATTTGTTCCTGGCAGCTAAATGTAGAGCTTGCCTTGAATTGCTCTTTGCTTCTGGAAGAGTGTTAAGGCAGAGGAGGAAATAAAAAGGAAGAAGGAAAGGAAGAACCCTAAAAGAAGGAGGACAGAAAGAACTCTCTGGAGCAAGTTATATGAGTCACAAGGAGGACTGAGGACATGAAGCTTTCATTCCTCTTGCCTCAAAATCTTGTCTGGCACCTGGAGCCTGAAAACCAGGAGCTACCTCCTGGATACTGTCTCCTGGTTTTTGACATCTTTCTCTCTTTTGCCTCTCACATCTTATTTGCCACTAAAAGCTTTTTAATTTTAAAAAACCTTTCATCTTACCTTCCCTACTGTCACCAGCACTAGCTTCCAGTTCAAAGACATAGAACCTAATCAAGATCCTGGAGGGCTTTTTTTCCCTCTTCCTATTGAATGCTGCCCATAGAGGAACCTCCCCAAACTCTACTTTTATCATATCAAGCCTTGCTCAAAAACTTAATTTACAGGGACAAAAGTCAAATTCTCAGAATAAGTTTTAAGACTCCATCCTGACTACCACGATGAATGCTCTCATTTCCTGCCTTTGAACATAGTTTTCCCCCTGTAAACCCCTTTAGAATCTTCATTCTTTATTCTACACATATCAAAATCCTTTCAATTCTTCAGAGAGTTCAAAGTTCAGCTCGAATCCTATTTCGTATTACACACTTTTGGGTTGGTAGGAAAAGTTCCCACTTCTTTCCTTTTATACAAAGGCTTGAAATTTTACTTAGAGAGCCCTCCTCATTTCTAGATATATTATTCATCTGAATGTTTGGCAAGCTCTCAGAAATAGTCCAGTAGTTCCCAATGGGAATATATTTATAGTTCAATTTGGACAGTATTTATTGTGCACCTAACATGTGTATGGCATCATGTTAAACATTCTCAGAATGTCAGTGTTAAAGGATAAATATGTTGAGTGTCTGCTCTTGGGAAGAATAATTGAGACATTTATTCATTGGAAGACTAATTCCACTTCACCTATACAGTGAATAATTTATGACTTTTCAAGTAAGACATTCTTCCTCTATTGAATTGGTGAGTTTCCTTAGTAGATGAAATTGTGATGGAAGGTTACATAAATGTGTTTAATGACATACATTTCACATTTCACAGCAAGTATCCAGGCTCAGTAGACATATAAATGTAATTAAACCTTCAATGTTGAACTATACACTTAATCTTGATGTACATATTGCTAATTATTCTAAATGTATTAGAAGCATCTTCCTCAAGGGGCCAGAAGTTTAAGAAACTATGATGCATCCATCTTCCACACCATTTTTATATGAGCACCTGCACCATATTAAGATTTCTCTGCTATTAATTTTAAAAGAAAGAAAAAGTAATTTCTTTCAATTATTTCAAATGAGAGAAAAGTTTAACAAATGAGTTATTAATAGCAATACTAAGAAATGGGGTGCGTAAAGGGGATTGTCTATACAAAAGTAGGCAAGCCTGATAAAAATCTGAGAACTACATGTATGGGATGTCACCCTTGGTATTTACAGACAAAACCATCTGCCCTCTGGTACTCTTAGTACAAATATCAGGAAATCAGTTTTAAGAAATCAATAGTTTCATTAGACAAGAATCATAGTTTTTCAATGTATGGGAATTTTATCCCACAGGTATTTGAATATCACAAGGGAAAATAAAAGATTAAGCCTCATAAGAAAGCAAAAGTACCCTATGTTATGGTCTTTGGCCAATGCTTTCTAATTCTTCTTTTTCATATCTTTAAATACAGAATCCCCTTCACCTTCAACTGAGTTTAGAAAATTCATTAAGCTCTGATGCTGATGTCACTGTCTCAATCCTGACCATGAACAACTGGTACAATTTTAGCTTGTTGCTATGCCAGGAAGACTGGAACATCACTGATTTCCTCCTCCTTACCCGGAATAATTCCAAGTTCCGCCTTGGATCTATCATCAGCATCACTGCTAACCTCTCCTCCACTGAGGACCTCTTGAGCTTCCTGCAGGTCCAGCTCGAGAGTATTAAGAACAGCACACCCACAGTGGTGATGTTTGGCTGTGACATGGAGAGTATCCGGCGGATTTTTGAAATTACCACCCAATTTGGGGTAACACCCCCTGAGCTTCGTTGGGTGCTGGGAGATTCCCAGAATGTGGAGGAACTGAGGACAGAAGGCCTGCCCTTAGGGCTCATTGCTCATGGAAAAACAACACAATCTATCTTTGAGTACTACGTACAAGATGCCATGGAACTGGTTGCAAGAGCCGTAGCCACAGCCACCATGATCCAGCCAGAACTTGCTCTCATTCCCAGCACGATGAACTGCATGGATGTGGAAACTACAAATCTCACTTCAGGACAGTATTTATCAAGGTAGGCTGCAGGGCCTGGGTTATATCCCTCCTTTAAATGGCTGTGACAGGAAGTAAAATTTTCCCTTCTCTTCTCTTTGTAGAAATCTTGCCTCTGAGGAACTTTAGTAATATTTCCAGGAGGGTTTCAGGTTACATAAGGTAGTGTCTCATGATCTGTCATCTGTAACTTGCCCTACAGACTTGTTTATGGTGTAGGGGGAATACTCAGTCCAACTTTTGAACCTTAGTTTAGCCCTTTCCTACCTGCTTTGCTCTTGGCAAGTTATTTAAAAGCTCCAAGTCTCAGTTTTCTAATCAGTAAACTAGGATAATATAGAATAACTTAATATAGTATATTCACAATATCATGAAATTATACATGAAAAGTACCTAATATCATGCTCGGCTCATAGTAGAAATACAACTAATGTTTCTTTTCCTGCCTACTCTTTCCATATCAGTAGACCCCAACAAATCTCTCTACATCTATATAGAGAAAAAAATTAGTCAAGCAGGAAATGGACTTTTCTATCTCCTCCCAGGCCTTGGTACTTAAGGCAGAATACAGTAGTGGTTAAAAGCATAGACTCTGGATCCAGACTGAAGGAGCTTGCAGTTTATCTCTGCCACTTACTACTTGCATGACTTGGTCAAGTTACTTCTCTGAGCCTATGCTGTATATCTATTTATGTAAAATGGATATAACAGTAGATCCTATTACCTATGGAATCATTGTGATAGGTAGATAGATGATGGATGGATGGGGATAGATAGATAAAACTAAGAGCTCTATAAGAGTATTACTATTATTTTATTATTTACTATTTTATACATAAGTGATTTTATATATGTATATTTTTTAATTAGGTACCTTTCTGCTCCAGTGCCTCAATCTGATTCAGAAGCTAGAATGAAAAAGCCCATTTAAAATAAAGAACAGCCCATCATATGGAAATGGTTTTCATGATCCCCTGGGAAAAGCAGAATATCCTTCAAGGAAATTTTATAAGGCCTAGATTTTCTTCTGGAAAAGGATCACTATGGGGGCCGGCCCTGTGGCTCACTCGGGAGAGTGCGGTGCTGATAACACCAAGGCCATGGGTT